TGTAATAACAAAATAAAATAGAGCCGGGCATGGTGGTGCATTTAATCCCAGCACTCGGGAGGCAGAGGCAGGTGGATCTCTGTGAGTTCAAGGCCAGCCTGGTCTCCATAGTGAGTTTCAGGACAGCTGGGACTACAGGGAGACCGTCTCAAAAAGACAAAAAAAAAAAAAAAAAAAAAAAAAAAAAGAATAGAAAAGCCAGGTATGGTGGGATATGCCTATGGTTACAGTACTTGGGAAGCTGAAACAGGAGGACTGAGGCTATCCTAGGCTATAAAGCGAGTTCTAGGCCAGCCTGGGATACAATATGTCTCAAAATAGGTAGCTGGGGAGATGGCTCTAGTAGTTAAGAGCACTTGCTGATTTTGCATAGGATGACAGTTCAGTTCCTAGAATCAACATTAGGCAGCTCATAACTGTCTATAACTCCAGTTCCAGGAGATCCAACGCCCTCTCTGGCCTCCCAGGGCATTCACCATACACACTTGCACATATACTCACGTACTAGACACATACTCACACAAAAACCAAACCAAAACCAAAACCAAAAAACAATCCACAAGGACTCGGGGGTGTAGCTCAGTTGACAGAGTGCTTGCCTCTGTTAACTGAGGTCCAGGTGGGTTCCAGTTAGCACTGCATAAACCAGGGGTGATGGCAGATACCTGTAATTCTAGCACTTGGGAGGTGGAGACAGGAGGATTAGGAATTCAAGATGAATCAGGAACTCAAGATCATCTTCAGCTACATAATGAGTATGAGGCAACAAGAAATAGGGTAGATTCTTACAGAAGAAAAATGTTTCATTGCTAATTCTGGAACTGAGGACTTTCCCTTACACTTGCTAGGTAGGCACTCCACCACTGAGCTTCTACTTTTGAGACAGGGTCTTTCAGTGTTGCCTAGGTTAGACTTGAACTCCTGGGCTCAAGTCTTCCAAGTAAAGTAGCTGACTGGATCACAGATACCAGGCACATACCATCATGCCCAATTAAGAGTTTGGAAGCCTCCGTTTTTACACTGTGTACAGCTAAGTGAATGATAATCAGTGATTATCTGTGGTTAATCTCTGAACCTGAATGCTTGGAACAGAAGAGGTGTAAGAATGAAGGGAAATGTCCTCCAAATGGCGGGGCGGCAGCAATGACTTCTCTCTGCTAGAGAACACCTTTTTCCTCCTTTCCCTCTGCTTTTGACAAGCTGGCACCAACTCTGAGCTGAGTGCATCTTTGTTGGATCACACTGGACAGTTATTTCACTTTTCAACGCAGAAGGAGTTGGAGGAGGCTGAATGGGTGGGATTAGGTTTGGGGCCTGATTCTGGGAGATACAGGGAAGATCAAAGAAGACCTCAGCAGGGAGGCTGTTTGAAATGTTAACAAGGCTGCCACAGATGCCAGGAACCTCAGATTAGAGGACACAGGAATGCTGGCTGTGGGGTGGAATCTGCAGGGTTCCTCTTCCCCAAGGTTTGTAGGGTGTCTGGGCTTTAGTAGGGCTGTTCTGCCCTCCACTAAGATTCCAGCCCTTCCAACTGGCCTAAATGCAGGAGAGGAGCCGCTGGAGCTCCCAGCCCCAAGCCCTGGATTCTTTTCCTGTCTCCTGCTTGCAGTGAGGGAGGTTCAGTCACACTGGCTGCCCAGTCAGGAGTGACGCGTCTGTACTAGAGGAGGCCAGGCCCAGCAAAGGCCAAAGCTGGTGTCTGTGAGAAGATCTTCCAAGCAACATTTGCGTGGTCTTGGGCTTTCTAAAAGCATTAGGGCAAAGTTGGAAGGCTGGAGCCCCAAGTCTGGTTATTGCTGGTTCCTCTCTGGGGACAGGTTGGCAACTTCCTGCTGGGTCAGGTGACAGCCTGGCTCCAGGTTGGACTTTGGGTTGGGTTTACAGGGACTGCTGGGAAGTCTGTACAGCCAGTGAAGACAGGGAGCTCAGCTGAACAATCACTAATCCAGGGGTAGCACTCAGCTACAGCTGGACACAGCTTGGCCCTTCCCAGTTGGGTATCCCAGAAGTATGTCTGTCCATTAGGCTAGGGGACAAGAGAGAAAGCTGGGTTCTGCTCTGAGGCTCGGGAAGATGTCCGGGTGTTGGAATTAGTACTGAAGGGTTTATAACTCTGACCTTTCCATATTCCTTCCTTTCCCCGCTGAATCAGGGGCTCCAATCTGTGGGTTGACCCCTGGGGATTCTGGTTTGAGAGGAGCCTTCCCTGGTATTATATGAACCACTGGAGGGTCAGCTTCATAGGCATGTGGACTGTGCAATCACACATGGCTCTGCACTCACAAAGGTCCTGTGCTGGAGGGATAGACTACCTTGCTGTTGGCCCCCTCTCTCCCACTCCCAGTATTTATTTATTTATTTGGTCTTTTTGAGGCAGGGTCTCCCTACAGCTCCAGCTGGCCTGGAACTCACTATGTAGACCAGGCTGCCCTTGAACTCACAGACATCTGCCTGCCTCTGCCTCCCAAGTGCTGGGCTTAAAGGTGTGTGCCACCATGCCAGGCTCCCAGTATTTTTGCCAGGATCTTAAGTATTCCAGGCTGGCCTCCAAGTCACTATGTAGCTGAGGGTGACCTTGAATTGACGCTTCTGCTTTCATTTCCGGAGTGCTGGGGTTACAGGTGAGCACCACCACAACTGGTTTATGCAGAGCTGGGGTTAGAAAACAGGGCTCTTGCATGCTAGGCAAGCATCCTTCCAACTAAGCTATAAAAAGCACCCTTCCACTGAGCTACCAGCACTGTTGTCCTCTTGAAGTCCCTTCCCCTTTTCTTGTTTTGTTTTCTTGGTCTTTTTGAGACAGGGTCTCCCTGTAGCTCCAGCTGCCTGGAACTCGCTCTGTACACCAGGCTGGCCTTGAACTCACAGAGGATCCACCTGCCTCTGCCTGCGGAGTGCTGGGATTAAAGGGGTGTGCCACCTTCCTCTTTTCTGTTTCTCCTTCCCTTCCTTTTTAGCAGTGGCGAACCCAGGGCCTCAGACATGATAGGCAAGCACTCTACCGCTGAGCTATATCCCTAGCTTACAAGTTCACAGATTTTAATGATATTTGAAGCCAGACACAGTGGTAGAGGGCTATAGTCTCAGCATCCAGGAGGTAGAGGTGGGAAGATTTGTGAATTCAAGGCCTGCCTGGCCTACATAGTGAGCTCCAGGCCACTCAAATAGTAATAGTAACCATGATAATAGTAATAATAATAAACAACTGAACAAGGGGCCTTGAAAGTTATATAATCTCTGCCTCTGGGAAGAGGGTGTTGAAAGAGTTGGTGCTGGGCAAGAACATTTCTCTCCTCACCACACCTTCCAAAAGTCAGAGTAGGGGTTGCTGTTGGATCTCCTATTCCACCCTCCCCTCTCCTGTTTCTTGGCTTGTTTGCACATGAAAACAAACAAATCCTAAAGCAAGAGTGCTTTCCTTCCCCCCATCCCCAAACGTTCAGACTTTATCCCACTGCCCAGTCCAACACTCTAGGCAAGTCTCAGTCCTGCCTATAACACCTTTCTTTGGACAGTAATTAACAGAGGAGAGGTGTATCCCTTAGGGTTAGGTTTGGACAAGGGCACCTTGAGGGCTGAGCCCAGCTATGAGTGCTTTAAGAGATGAGTGCCCTAAGAGAGTACAGTCCTGAATGGCCAGGTTCACCAGAGCTGAGCACCTGAGGACACTAAGGCAGATTAGAAAGTCACTTTCTGCATTGTAATCATCCTACAAAGTTACCGCTGAGGTTGAGTGAGGTCTACAGGTGTTGCGGTCCACTAGGGTGAGTGACCCCCATAAAAAGGCTCCTGCCCTGCCAGTGTGGTGGTTCTCGTCTTTAATCCCAGCACTTGGGAGGCAGAGGCAGGTGGATCTCTGTGAGTTCGAGGCCCGTTGGGGCTGCAGGGAGACCCTGTCTCAGTAAGACAAAAAAAAAGGGGGGGGGGGCTCTTGCCCTCTCACATAGACCAGGACCAAGAGAAAGCTGTGTGACAATGGTCAAATGGATAATGCAGAAAACCTCTTATCTGTGGGGTGATCACAAGACCGCAAGACCCTCCTAGGGCTCCACGGAGGTGGCTTCCCCGGATGCTGGCTTTGCCTGTTCTGCTGCTGAGCACCTCTGTGCTCTTGGGCAATCACTGTACCCTCCTAGACTCACTTCCCTTCTGTCCTAATATAATACTCCTACCTTGCATTCCTCATACCTTGTAGAATCAGACGATATAAAAGGGCTTGGTCAGCTATAATAAAGTACCAGAGGCCTGGAAGGAAATGAACACAGCATTTCTGTGATTCCTAAAGGCTCTCTCCTATCAGCTTCCCTTGACACCCTAAGTCACCTACCTCAAGACCTACCTTAAATCTTCATTGAACATCTCAGTGGGAAATCTCGACTTTAGCATGGGTGCCCTGGAGGATCAAAGTCTAGTTAAGGGTAAACTGAGGAAGCATTATTCCACATCGGCCACTCAGGGATGAAGGAGGCACCCAGGAAGTGCCCCCCAGCTCCACACCGAGCTTTGCCAGGAGACTGCCTGCCCCCTGGCCACAGGTCTCAGATGTTTGTGAAGCCTATCACCGATATGCCTCGGTCCTGGAAAGAATTCTCAATTCCCTTATTCCAGAAAAAGACTTCCAGAGTCCCCCACGTCTTCCCGGTCTAAACTGGGGGTGCCAGGCTCTCCTGGGGAGGGTGATCCAAGCCGCCCCTTCCCGCCCTGCCCATCTGCCCTCTCTCTGGTTCCCCCCACCCCCCTCATCCCCCAGGGTCCTGCCAGGTTGGGGCGCCGCGCTGGCCTCGGGGCTTCGGGGACCCCTCCTCCCGGGCGGGACCTCGCCCTGCGGAGCCCAGTGAACTGGGAGGGGCAGCCGCTCCCGCAGCTGCTCTA